GGAGCTTGCTATTTTTAAAGGCTGCTTTTAAAACATTTGAAAGTATTGGGTGAAATAGTTTCTATGGGTTTTTTCTTTTCTTTAACTGACTCCTTTAAAAAGCTCTGGAAAACAAATACACAGGAAAAAATGAAAATATGTTAAAATAAGGAATAAAGCAGTTACTGAAGTGTAATAATCCCGCTTTATAGCACACTTTCCATTTAAATTGTTTTTATTCGAGATAAACCTGTTAAGTGTTGAGGAATTAAGTGCTGAATAGAGAAGGTTGTTTCGCTGCTGTATAAATGAAGGATCCCAGTATGCAGAAGAGAGTACGACTGGTTTTACACGTGAATTATTTGCCAGTTTGAAGGGCTCTGGTTACTTTGGCATCTGTTATTAAAATGATGATTTGTTTGTTGTCAAGAGGGATACTGTTTTTTTCAGAGGGGCAAGAATGATTTTAGCACGGGGGTTTGTAGGCGCTGCCGGCTTTCTCATCGTCCTCACGCCTGGTTTGCTAGAAGGAGCTCGAGAAAATGAGGCAGAGAGATTTGGGGGAATTTCTTGGCACTGCTAGCAATACACAGACTTCGGGCGTGCGGTGCTTTGGGACAGTATTGAAAGGGAGCAGCCTGCAACTCCCGGTATCAAAAGTCAGTAATGGTGTGAAACTCTCCTCATTTGGGAGGGCTAAGGGGGGCTGGAGAGAAAAATTCAATGTATCACTGGGTCTCAGCATCTCCTTTCAGACAGCTGGTCTTGGAAAATTTCATTCAAAGACTGCAAATTGGAAGTCCCCACAATCACTCCGTCGATTCTTGAGCCAAAAAGGTGACTTTGGAAATTCGTGACAGCAAAGGAAGGTCTTGTTTTATTCACTCAACAGAAGTAAAATGCAAGGGGAAGGGAGAAAGAACAGATCTGTGCGGAAAACGTCACTTGGGCTGTAACCTGAGCCTGAGCAAACTGTGCCTTTCGGAGGGGTTTGGTGACCCTCCGAAAATCCTTGCTCTCTGGCTGCTATTATTGTAGCCAATTTCCAACTAAAATAAGTCTTTTGTCATCACCAGCCATGCCGCCTCTCGCTGAGAAGAAACAAAACTGGTGCGTGGCGCCGAGGGCGGCCAAGCCGAAGGTCAGAGTGCAGAGGCGGATTGCTGCGTCCCCGGGGCCGGGGCTGGATCTCACCCGTGGGACCGGCGATGCACCAACCCGGGAGACTGCCGGTGACCTCTGGAGACAGACCCCGGGCAAGAACCCTAAGAGAAAACATCCTAGTAAAATGCAAATTGGAGAAAAGAGGGTTTCCTCCTCCTCTCTAGGGTTATGCAGGTGGAATAGCTGGGTTTTGCGTGCTTTTGGGGACACGGCGGATAGCGCAATCTCATGTATCCAAAAGGGCAAGGAAAAGTTAACTTGAAAAACATAATAAATACTTTAAACTTCTGTGTTTGCCCAACTGTTCAAACGTTTCCTCCATGCCAGATCCTTCCCCTTGCAAAAAAAAAAAAAAAAAAGAAAAGAAAAAGCAACCCCAAGCATCACTTTGCAGAGTTCTTGGCTCTCCTTGGGCAGGGAGATGGGTCTAACTGAGAGATCTCATGTTGTTTGTGCCGCTATTGATTCTGCTCTTTGGGGGGGGGAAACCCAAACCAAAAAAACCCCTTCCACACCAGAGCAAAGGTACCAATGCATAGAGCACTGGTGTGGGGCAAAATCCTTTATGTGAGTCTTTGAGCCTGTGTGGGTCTTTACTCCCATGAGTAAGGTTAATGCAGCTGTCTTAATCATTAACGTAAGTTTTATGCTGAGTCGTGCTTTGACAATACTCTGTTTGAGTAGCACTTGATACGCAAATATCTTTTTTTAGATCCCAGTTCCTCTGAACTTTGGAAAATCAGAGTGATTTAGGGCTTCTTTCTCTTCAGATAGGTGAATGTGAGCCTACGGGAAAAGGGGCAGTGAGATTTTTCCTGTTAGCTTTTCTGGTCCATCATTTTTGCTGGTGTTAAGTCAGGCTGACGCTTTGGAAATTCAAAGAGTGATCAAAAGATCTTGGCTCTTCTGTCAAAGAAAAAAACAGAGAGTATGAAGAAATCATCCCCATGCCCATATATTTCTGCAGCAACAGCTAATTTGCAGTTTTGCTTGCAAAGAGTTCCCAAATGCGATTTATAAACGTAACAGGGCTGCATTGTGCTCTCTCAAGGCAAGCCACATTAACAGTTTTAATCTGATGGGTTCTTACGAATTCCAGGTTTGGGATGCAGGAAGAAACTTGAAAGTGAATACTTTCTTCTTTTTTTTTTTTTTTTTTTTTTAATGCATAGTGGTTTGGAGTCTACTATAATGCAAAGTAAAGCGTTCTGTTACAAAGGCAGGGAGGATGGGACAGAAGGTTAAAGGGCATCCTGGAAACAAACAGCTGGACCAGTTTATTTAAACAGATACAAGGATGGGGAGCTGACCTCCGTTTGACTTCTAGTGGGAGGAGCGAGAATGTCATTTTATTACTTTGCCCAGAAGGAAAATGTTCTTGCGTCTGAATTCCCCCCCGAAGACATCCAAGCACTGGGCTGTTTGGCAGAATTGCTACTTGTAGAAAATACTTACGTGAATGCGTAGGAAGAAGATAACTGTTAAGTACCTGTGTGTAAAATGGTCTTAAAGCAGGTATCCCAGGCGATAGCATGGGGCAGACAGGTGAGAATATGTTTTACCATAGGCACGGCTTGTGGATAATTCTGGGTAAACTCTAGCTATAGACTTCGTTATTGGGAGGACCCCCCCTTGTTATTAAAAACGCTTGCAGTTTGGAGGAAAAAGAAGAGAAGGTAGTGAAGTTGCGGGGTGTGTGCTTGATGTTGCTCAGGGTTTCTTTGGGGTAAAAGCTTTTGGCAACTGAAGGTTTCGGTGACCAGCCGATGTCAGGGCTACCAAAAACTCCTCCCCTCCTGCCGCAGGAACGGGTCCGGGCGATGGGGCCGGAGAAAACACAGCGGGAGCCTGCCAGGCTTGCGACAAGCGATGGCTGGGGCGCTGGGGTTTCGTGTTGTTGTTTTACTTAGGAGAGTTACTGTGAAAATTGCTTTCTGCAAATGCAGATTACAGATATTAAACAATTTTCTAATTGGTCATGGAGCTAAGGCAGCTAATGGGGGAAAAAAAGCAGATTTTTTTTAATTGCTTATTTCACATGGTGTTTGTGCTACACCTGTGCTTATAATGAGAAAGGAGAATTAGTCTAACCTTCTGCTCACATGATTCTAATTTTCATGGTTTGTACAAGATAATGATAAACTGATTTGCAACACTGTTTGCTGGAGTTGAAGGGGGGGAGTTTATTGGAAATGTGTAGAAAAATGGATCCAGTACTGTTGCTGACAAAACACGACCTAGTTCAGGTGTGAGGTTTCCACATCGGCACCCAGATTTGGTGCCTTTGAGCCCATTTTCTCGAGACAGGTTTGATTAGGACTCAACATCTTGATTAATTTTTGTGGGAGTTTGGGTACCGGGAGCCAGTCGGGAATGGGAGATAGGAGGAGACCGAAAGCACTCTGCTGGTCTTTGATGAGGGCAAAACAAAGAGCACGGGGCGGTGGTTTGCTGTTCTCCCCCCCGCCGGCGTAGGGGAATGGGTGGGCAGAGCCGATTCCCGCGGGAAGGCCCCGGTGCCTTTATCTCTGCGGCAGGAGAGCTCCTGCTAAGCCACCCCAAGCAAAAGCAACAAACCCAAGCACCAAGTAGCCCTTTGTGGACTTTCCCTTTGCGCTTTGCAAGCGTAGCGTGGTTTTAACCGCGCTCACGCTTCTGCCTTTGCTAGTAAATATTGTGGCGTACACATTTTTATTATTCTTTTTCTCTCTCGTAAAGAACACGAAGTCTGGTTGTGAGGCTTTGCCCTGATTAAATCTCGATGGAGATTTTTTCCAAATGGTTTTTAACTAAGCTTTCTGATGAGGGAAACCGCAAGAGAAGTTCTTCTAACGCTCTTCAGACAGGTTCCCAGCCATGGTTTCGAGCCTCCCGATTTCAGCGCCACGAGGGCTGCCCGCGGAGGAGACCGGGGCACTTCTCATCCCTCTCCTTCTTCTGTTTTGCTCCAAATTATTTTGAATATTCCTTTCCCAAATAAGCACTGCAAGACTGACTGAGTCAAAGAGCTACAAAACCACCAGGGGTACGGTTGCAGATGGCTATTTTTAAAAATGACTCTACCTTTTTTTTTTTTTTTTATTTCCAAAGATCTGCTTTTCATTGTTCGGGGGGAATTTTCAGTAGTCCAGTAATTACAGTTTAACAAGATGTTTGCTGTAAATGGTCAGGCCTAGCTGGAGAAAACAGGATTATAAATTCAATTACTGTAAAGCTATGACCTCGCCTTGACCCCTCAGACTTTGCATAAAGAGGGGGGGGGGAAAGCCCACCAAGAAATGGCTAGGAGGAATGCACGGCTCTGAAGTCCCCAGCAGTGTGACTTAGCGGTGATAAAACTCCAGACGTTCCCTCATTTGATGGGGTTCTGCCATCACAGTTCATTATCTTAATAGTGGGCATTAAAAGGGAATTAGGTTTGCAAGAGGTAAGGGCAGGTTTTGATAAAAAAAAAATTGGAAAAAGAAGTCAGAGGACATAAGGCAGCAGTGGCACTAATGAGGGGGAGGTAGCAGATGCCCTCGCGAGCATCTCGCCGACTTCGCCCGTTTGGGTTTTTTTTTGTGCCCCGTTCTGAATTGAGGAGAGCGTCGCTGGTATTGTTTCCTGAAAACTCGGCTAATTCCCCCATGAAAAGATGAAATGGAAGTGTCCGACTGTGGTAAAAAGCAGGCAAACATAAATCAGCTCGGAAACCCCAAGCTCGTGCTCTCAAAGGTCACGGGGGTTAGAGGTTTTTCCAGTATTTGCATCCCCACGCGGCCCGACGGAGAGCGCCGTGGCGGGGCGAGAGGGCTTGGGGATGGGTGGAAGCCATCCCTTCCCTAACCGTTTGCTTTCCTCTTTTTTTCTTGCAGGTTTATTAATGCTAGAAGAAGAATAGTTCAGCCCATGATAGACCAGTCCAACCGAGCAGGCAAGTCCCCAATAGTAACTGTATTCGAGTCACGCGGGCGAAAACCATCCTCAAGCCATTCACCGGGAGGTCCATTACCTGGTAAATAAATGAGAAGTGAATGCTGGGAGTGATTGACAATTAAAATACAACCAGCTTTCTTTCATTACAACCCTAATCATTTTAACATGAATAAAACATTTGGGGGCAAAAAGACACTGAAAATTCAAAAAAAGAAACTAAAGTGATCTGCTCCGTGGCCGGACTTTCCGTACCCGTTCGGAATGAAAGTTATTTTTATTTTCTTCTGGTAGTTTTTTTGAGTTTTCCTTCCCAGCTCTTTCTGCTCCTGTGACCACTCCCTGGTGCATGGCTTGGTGTGGAATTGCTGTAAACTTTATTACCTGTCAAAAGGGCAAAGGGGTCAGAATCGCTTGTGGGACTCAGTAAAGTTCAAAGACATTCAATGAGGTAGAGCTTTATGTGCTTTAATAACCCAAGGCAGCTTACTTCTGAAGCCGGCTTTTAATGTACGGTTAAAACCTGGAGTTCAGGTAGTGGTACTTGTATAGGGTCCTTTTGTCCCTTGTCTCTTCTTTTGAGTAGCTGTCTTTTGGGATCGCTGAGTGTTTGGGGTTTACTTCGGGGGGATTAAATTTTTTTTTTAAAAAAAAATCCAGAGTTTTCACATGCTGGTTCTGTCTGGGGTCTTGGCTCGCAGCTGTGTGTCGGTATTTACCATCGGGGCACAGCCTGTTACTCCCGATTGGTTTTGTTTTCCGAGTCTTGCTGCCAAACTACCCAAATCCGTCGCTGCCCATGATGCCTTTGGACCACACCTCCTCTTCGAGTATATGCGATTAATTTGTCATTAGAGGTAAATATCTGGCACGGACGTGTTCAGGTCCTGCTCTTGGAAAGGCACACGGGCGTAATTTAACACACTGCGATTTCAGTGTGACTATCCCGGCCGTAAAATCCGTCTCCTATACATACGTCTTTGCATTGACGTCAGCAGCGGCAGCAGCTGGAGCCGGGGCTCCTCATGTCTCCAGATTTCAGATCGCTAACTTCATTCCCAAACTTGCGGTAGGAAATTAAGCCAAAACGAAGCAAGCTTG